AGATGCAGGAGGCCGACAACTATATGAAACGCCTTGAAGACTGCGAACGTCAAGTAATACAATTAATTCCCATAATCAATTATGACCTAGAATTGAAACTGAACGAAATGCTAACTGCACAATCGAGCTGTCGTTTTGTGAAGAGTCCCAACACTTGATCAACTTGCTCACGAAACTATCGCAGCATATCAATCGCAGTTTCTATCAAAAAAACGGATTTTTTTCCCGAAAAAACTCTGTTCTTGGAAACTTCTAATTGCCCATTTCATCCTCAACCTATCCGGAGATATTTGAAAATAACTATTGAAGTGTTCTGTTTATATGTCAAGGTGTTTCATATCTCCATTCGTGGTTTGCAGATGAATGTACCAGTACCACCGTATTTGTGTGCGACACCTCCGACCTTCTGTGGTAACGCTTCAAGTTTGATGATAACTCTGGCGGACTGCGTTATCTTGGTGGGCACTGCTTTGTTGTTTCTGCCAACCCAATCATGATCGAACTATTTCGCTTATCAATTCACAAATGAATTCATTCAAGCAGTTAGAAAATTGCAGTTCCTATAAGACGTCTTTGCATTATCATAGATATCGTTTGCACTCTCCGTTCGATTACCCGTTTTGATAATTTTGATAATTTGACATGGTACGAAGGATTTTTGACCTCCCTTTGATATGGAATGATTGTTTCTTCACTATGATTTTGTATGCTCATCGTAGCTGTGACAGTTCAAAATTGTTCTCTGTCAATACCTAAAATACACGAATCGCAACTAGCTATTGAGATGAACTCAAACGCGGAAGGAATTTTCGGCAAGCATAAATTTTCACTATTGACTATAAGCTGAATAGAATCCTGAATGGACTATAAGCTCATAACTATGGCAGCTAATTCCAAGTGTATAAAAAATCGTGAATTGGTCTATTAAAAATTATTGTAGAGTATGTGGCCACTTGAATGAGAACAGTTTTAAATAGTAGGAAATTCATAGAGAATCATTCGAATATTCAATTGCTCCATGCACTTTTTTGTTAGGTCATGCCGAATCACTCATTCTCAGATAGTCAAGGGAACACTCAAGTATTTTCGAATCTCTTTGGAAGAAAAACTCTTCAGAATATTATCAAATTTCTGATACGCACCTAGTTATTAACCACTTTCGTTTGAGTATCTTTATCCTTGTGAAATATTCAGTTTTCGGTGACCTACTCAATGCACTGCAAAGGTGTTGAAATATTCAGCAGTGATTTTTTTATCACTTCAGGAGAACAAAGTTTTCGTCAATCGAGTTTTCAGTCATGAGATTTCGCCCTCAACAATGCGTTCCATAAAAGCATTCGTAAAAGAACAAGAAGAACAAACAGCCATTCTGGATATAATTGAAAAATTAGTGAGTTGCTTTCAATTGATTCCTTGGATCTGATTCACTCTCGATCTGTATAATTTCACATCAGCAACTACATTCGAACTAATTCTTTTCTTTGATCACTTATATCAAACTCTGTCTTTATTGATTTCGTTATTTTCGTACAGCTGAATATACAGAATATGTGATGTATTGCAATTGTAAATTTGATAGCATTCAACTTTTTTACTTCGGCATGACTTCCGGAACAATTTTAAAAGTAATTTGTGCATTATAATCAAGAAATGATTAATTTCAAATTTTAGAATTCAATACTGCTGCATACACAACCCGGCACTATTAGAGAGTGGGATGTTCCACTTAACATAGACTGGCTGAGAAAAATTTGCAATGCAACGAATTCTGCAACTGAAAAGTGAAACACTGACATTTAAATGATCCATTGAAGTTCCTTGTATTCTTATAACCCTTTTTCACCGCACATAACATATTACAAATAAACTTATGAATAAAATTATCGTATGTTTGTTTTCACATTAACACTTGATTAGCATTGATAGTACGGGACACAGGACGGAAATTTATATTAAACTGAAATTCAAAATTTATATTCACATAATTCATATTAACTGATCAGACGATTTGAGACAAATTTGATGATGTGAAACCATCAGAAACACAAAAACTGAAAACAATTCTACTATCAGTACGGTGCTGAATTCAATCCGTTGATCATGCACAGCTGTCGTGATAATTGGTTGATGTGATCGCGCAACGCTATATCCATTCAAATTACAAAGAAATTGACCGAAGAAAATGCATTATTGTCAGCAAATTCATCAATATCGAAACTTTATTCTAAATGAAACGGCATATATCACCACCGTGAATATTCGAAATCAGTTTTGTATAAACTCTAAATCAGAATAATTTGATCACAAAGTGGGAAAGGGTTGTATCCGATTGAGATTGAACCGCGTAATTTTTAAAATTTGTTGCAAATTTCATATTCATTGTTTGCTCAACACAATATGCAAGGATCGCTGAAAAAAAACCAAACAAACCAGCTAGCCGATATAATTGTCATTATTTTTAGCTCATAGTGGATACATAATCACTATTACCATGTGACTCATCTCCTACTCAATACCTGACTATAATTGATGTTTATTCCACGAACGCATTGTTACTGCATGAACAGTCGGCATGATCGTTTTAAATTTTTTTTGATTGCACTTTTTATTTACCGGAACAAACTTCAATTGAACTAGTATTTATGGCTGGCTGACTCACGAACGAAAAAATTGCTGCAGTTGAAGTTGCTCGTTTGGTGAGAGATAAAATATCGCGTGGTCGGTTTGAGAGTCGCTTTGGAATACTTTATCTGATTATTGTCGCCCGAGTATATGGATTTTAAAATGTGTTAGTCGATAGTACGCAGCTGTAGTACTGCTAGTTCTGGAAATTATGATCAGCAACAAGAATGTAATGCATGGCTGAGGTCGTGATCCATCAAAATAGTGCAGATCGCTATATCTTCACTGATCAAACCTGAGTGAGTATGTCTTGAAGATGATAATTCCAATAATATACGAGCTAGTAGAATCAGTTGCACTGTCGATCTTCAACAGATCAAATGCTTAAAATTGATAACATTTACATATCTGTACAATATTCTTTATTATCCATGACTATACATTCTATCAGAACATTTTATAAGGTGAAAGAATATTCCTTGGATCGAAGATTTGCTTGAGTTGTTTGGCGATGCCAAGTTCAGATCCTTTTCCGTACTTCGCATATTCACGTTTCACTTGACCAACACCGTGTTCGGCGCTCACACTCCCGTTGTGTTCCACCACCCAATCGTACAGAAATGGGTATAACCTGTAAATAATTTTCATTAGTTAGCGTGTCTCAGTATGAGATTTGAAAATATTTCCAGCTTTCCACGTTGATAATGGAGTGTTGAAGGGTTCTTGCAGTGAGATGTAGATTTCTGATCAGTTTCGGCTTTGAGTTTGATCTCAAACCTTAATTTGTCGCTTTCCAAGTGACTATAGAAATAAATATCACCGAGGGCATATTTTCACGTTCAACTGAATCTAAAATCTGCCTTGATTCCGTACTTCATCAAGATCACAATCAGATTAAAAGAATCGTCTCCCTTGGAGAATTACTTCTGAAATCACTTGAAAAACTAGAAATTACTTGAAAAAAACTAGAAATTTTTGAAGATGACAATTTGAAACTAGAAAATTACGAGATTACTTGAGTTACTTTGAATTACTTGAATTACTTGAAAACTATTTGAAAACTAGAAGAAACTAGAAAAAATTCCGATAATATACGAGCTAATAGAATCATCTGCACTGTCGATCCTCAGCAGATTGAACTATTTCAAATAAAAATCAGAGTTCTCAGAAGCTCAATCTTACCTATCGGCCACTTCCTGTGAATAGTGTTCCGTTACAATATTCAAATGCGAATTCCCGTCTCCGATATGACCGAACGTGAAAACTTTCGCGTCAACACCATCACCGTTTACAGCGAGTCGTTCTCGTATCACTTCGGTTAACCTGTAGAAATATTCCAGTGGGAGTGAGACATCGTGCTTATAAACATAGCCACTTCGAGCGATCATCACTGGAACCGCTTCGCGGATTCGCCAAATATTTTCAACTTCTTGTCTAGATGAAGCCTGAAGCACACCTGTACAGGTAAATCATTATGTGAAAAGATGGAAGTATTGTGGCACAGTTAGCTAGTGAGGTATCCATGTAATGTATTGATTATCCACTATTAATATCATCACGAATCCATTTAGTTTCTGCAGGATCGGTGTTGCCGTCGTAAAATTCAAAAAAAAAAAAAACTGTCGCCTCAGCAAAAAAAAATGTCAGAAATATTATCGTCAACCTGAACTCCATCGATAATAATTTCGCGATCGATCGCTTCAGTGAGAAAACCGGCTAATTTCTCTTGATCATGACGTTCGTTTGACCCTGACAATGTATGAAATCGATAGATCAGATTCGTCACTTCAAGATCAACATGATCTCAGGAACAGTGATTGCTCAGAAATTTCACCACATTACTAGCCTAGAATCCACTGTAACTGTTCCTCCACTAACCAGTAGTTTCAATGAGGATATAGAACGGAGGATTTGAGTTGAGAATTTTGTGAAACGTATGATCCTGTAGGACACATTGCATAGAGTCTGCATCGATCAACTCTAATGCAGATAGCACCTCACCGAGACGATCCTTTGACATTCGGACTATTTCACGGCATTTCTCAAACGATCTTAGACCTGAAAGCATGATTCTCACTTAAATCGGGGATTAGACTGCTTGATTTATAAAACAGAAGAGCAAGTTGTTCATAACAGCAGCCTGATTCGAATCGGTTATTCTGAAATGTTTTGTGAGGATTTCCGGCTGTCGTCTGAAACTTTCGAAGAATTTATTGATGATTTNAGTAGAGCAACTTGTGTACTGCGCAATCTGGGCACTGCAGTCATCCATATACGAGTCACAACACCCAATTGGCCTTCAGAGCCTATGAAAAGATGATGCATGTGCAAATTCGTGTTATCTTTTCGCAACGCACTTCCAAATCTCACAATTGTACCGTTCTTGTCTGGCAGAAC